CCGAAGACGGCGTAATTCAAGGTTTTCTAGTTCTAGAATTTCAAGTCGAGTAGAGGAGTGGAGAACTCTTCTTGTGAAATATTTCTGGACTTTCTGAACTGTGCTAATATCAGATACGTAATGTGGGTTCCAGACTGATGAGCTGTATTCGAGTATTGGTCTAGCAAATGTTTTGTATGCTCTGGTTAGTAGTGTGATATTACCAGAGAAAAAGCTACGTAGGATTAGGTTAACAACTCTTAATGCCTTTTTGGCTCTGTAGTTGCAGTGGGCTCTAGCACTTAGATCATTAGAGGTGAGTATTCCAAGGTCCTTTTTACAGAGCTTGGATCATCAACAAGATCTTGATTCCTGCAACCATTCTTTCTATGTTTTAGTCTCCAGTCCCCTAATCATCTTTCTTTTCACTGCACTCTTTCTAGAGTCTCAACATCTTATTGTGACCCAAACTGGATGCAATAGGACACCGTCCGAGAGTAATTTTTTCGGACGAACCAAACAGGACTCACCTTCTTGTCTTTCTCTTTAACCAGCTTGGCAGAGTCCTCGATGTGGCTGTGCAGCTCCTGGAGACGTTCGGACTCTGCCCGCAGGCTCTGCAGCTGCTTTTCGGCGGCGGCTAACTGCGCCTCAGCCGCGTGCTTCTCACTCTTCATGAAGAGGGCCTCCCGCTGCACCTGGAAGACTTCGGTGCAGGTCCGTTCATGCTTGCTGCCCAGGTCGCTCAGCTTCGCCTTCAGGGCCTCGATTTCGGCCTGCAAGGTGGCCCTCAGCTGCTCTTGGGCCTCCGCGGAGACGGCACCTTGACGGGCCTCGTCCAGCTGGGCCTGGAGATGGGATGCCTCGTGGGCTTTGGCTTTCAGCTCCTGCTCCAACTGCTTTGTTTTGGCCTTCAACTCCCACAAGGTGCCCTCCAAGGCCTCCTTGGCCCGGGCATGCTCGGCCAGGGGCACCGACTCTCGCCTGTACGTCTCGGTGGTCTTCTGAAGTTCTGCCAGCTCCGTCTGGGTGGAGGTGTACTTCTCTTTCATCTCCAGCAGCTTCTTCTCAGCCTCGGAGAGGGCGGCCTTCAACTTCTCCACTACATCTTCGTGGTCCACTCTGGGGACGAACTGAGAAGCCAGCCTCTCCTTAGTCCCTTGAAGCTCCTCTTCCAGCTTCTCCCGGCCTTCTCGGAGCTCCTCAACGTGAGCCTTCACTTCTTCGTGTTGCTTCGTCACGGCCTTCAGCTGCTCTCGCAACTTGGTAGCCTCCTCCTGAAGAGCCTGGCTGACTGAAGACCTTCCTTCAAGCACCTTGTGTCTCTCCTCCTCCAAGGAGGCCCTCAGTTCTCTTAGTTCTGTTTCCACAGAGGTGCATCTCTTAAGAAGGGCCTCTTTCTCCCGAGACATTGCATCCAAGGAGGCACCCAGGGTGGCTTTCACCTCCTCGTATGCCTCAACGGAGCAGTTTTGGGCCTCTCTTTCTTCTTGGACCCTCAGCAGCCCCTCCAAATCCTTCATCTTCCGATCTCGCTCCTTCAGCTCCTCCCGAGTCTGGTGGAGAGTAGCCTTCACTGTCTCGAGTTCAATTCTGGAACTCTCCTCCATCTCTTTCTCCTCCATGGACAAGATGCCCAGCTCGATCTGATCTTCAAGGATCTTGACTTCAGCCAAAGCTGCCTGATATTTCTCCTGGGTCTCGTTCAGCTCGTTCATCAGCTGCTCCATCTGTTCTCGGGTTACCGGGTTGAATTTGCTTTTCCCTTCCGGTTCCGACTCTGCTTTCCTCTCCATCGCTCGGTTCTCTCCGATCTGATCGTCCGGGAGGCTGATCTTCTCCAAAGCTTCTTTAAGGGCCGCGATTTGCTTCTCGTAATCGTCCTTCAGCTGCTCGTAAGCCTCTGCGGAAATGAGCTTACGAGGGCTTCCATCTGTTCCGTTGCTTTCCAGGGACTTCAGAAGCTCTTGGGCCTCCAGCTGCTGTCCTTTCAGCTTCTCGAACTCAGATCTGAGCGAGTCATACAAAATGACAGGGATGAAATCCCCGGAAGTGTCAGCCTCGCTCTGCTCCTTCTCATCTTTCTCCAGAACCTGCACAAAACAAAAAATTTGATTTATGGGATACACACAGAGAGAAAGGAAGAAAAACCACAAATGTGTTCAGGAGAGAGTTTAATGCAGGAGTCCTCAAACGTGGCCACTTTAAGACTTGTGGACTTCAACTCCCAGAATTCCTCAGCCAGCATAGCGTAGCTGGTTGAGGAATTCTGGGAGTTGAAGTCCACAAGTCTTAAAGTGGCCAAGTTTGGAGACCTCTGGTTTAATGCATAGCCGTGGTGACTTTCCTCGGCTTTTAACCGATACTTTTCGTTCTTCGGCTGCATTTTGCCTTCCATGGCTGACCCCAAGAGGAAATTTATTGTCATTTACAATAACAACGAAATATAACTATTGTTATTCCTCGACTTAATGACCTCAATTGAGCCGCAAATTTCCATAGCTACAGCGAGACTGTTGTTAAGTGAGTTTTGCCCCATTTTAGGACCTCTCCTGCCACAGTTGTTAAGTGAATCAGTAATTCTTAAGTGAATTTGGCTTCACCAGAAGGTTGCAAAGATGACATCACTTCCGGGACCCTGAAACTGTCATAAGTACAAGTCAGTTGCCAATGGATTGAATTTGGATCACCTGACCACGGAGAGGCTGCCAGGGTCATTATGTGTGAAAAACAGCCGTAAGACACTTTTTCCAGTGCCATCATGCTTTTGAAACGGTCACTAAATGAACTGCTGTAGGTCAAGGACTCCCTGTAGTTTAGAGTTGGTAAACTCAAGTAATGCAGGTAGTCCTCGGCTTACAATCACCATTGAGCCCAAAATTTCTGTCGCTAAGTGAAAGAGTGGTTAAGTGAGCTGTGCCCCATGTTATGACCTTTCAGGCCACCATCGTGAAGTGAATCGCTGCAGTTCTTAAGTTAGTTACCCGGTTGTTAAGTGAATCTGGCTTCCCCGTGGACTTCGCTTGTCGGAAGGTTGCAAAAGGGGATCTCATGACCGCGGGATACTGCAACCGTCGTAACTATGAGTCATTGCCAAGCATTTGAATTCTGATCACATGACCATGGAGACGCCGCGACGATCATAAGCATGAAAAACAGTCTCATGTCACTATTTTTCAGTGCCGTTGTAACTTTGAATGGTCACTAAATGAACTGTTGTAAGTCAAGGACTTTCTCTATTTCTCCACAGCAGGTGAGTGAATGCCCAGGTGGTCAAAGCTAGGATTTACCTGTATTTTTTCCATTAGCTTTTTGTTCTTCTGGGTTAGGGACTCGATCTGGCCCTGCAGGGTTGCTAAGAGTTCTTCCGTGGAGGCATTTAAAGTTTTCTTGGAGAGAAGCTCAGCGGTTGCTAGAAAGAAAAGAAGAAGAAATGGAAAAAAAGTGAAAACGTGCAAAAAAAAATAGATTAAACCTGGTGGAGAAGGGAAAGCCTCGCCCCAGGCTAAAGTTACAAAAATGCAGTTAGTCCTCGACTTACAACCCCCATGGAGCCCAACATGTCTTCTGTTGCTAAGTCAGATGTTTGTTCACTGAGTTTCGCCCTGTTTTGCCACCTTTCTTGCCACGGTCGTTAAGCGAAACATTGCAGTTGATATAAGTTAGTGAGCCAGTTGTTAAGCAAATCCGGCTTCCCCATGAAATTTGCTGGTCAGAGGGTCCCAAAAGGAGATCACATGACTCCAGGACCTTGCAACCGTCATAAATACGAGTCTGAACTTTAATTATGTGACTACAGGAATGCCACAACAATCATAAAAGTGTGAAAAACGGTCATAAGTCCCTGGTGTTAGTGCCATTGTAACTTTGAATGGTTGCTTAATGAGCCGTTGTAAGTCGAGGACTACCTGTGTTCTCCTCAGATACGCCCTCGAGATGGCCAATAGCGGTGGCAGTCACTAATACAGGTCATCCTCATCTTATGACCACCATTGGGGGCCTGAATTTCCATTGCCAAGCGAGCTGGCTGTTAACTGAATCGCACCTGATTTCCTGACTTTTTTTGCTATGGTTCTTAAGTTAATCACTGCAGTTGTTAAGTGAATTGCAAGGTCGTTAAGTGAATCTAGCATCCTCCATGGACGTTGCTGGTCAGAAGCTGGCCGGGATGGTCACAAACGGAGATCACACAACCCCAGAATCTTGCAACCACTATAAATACATACTGATGTTCAAGTGCCTGCATTTTGTGTTACATTGCAATAGTTGTGAGTGTAAGAATCGTTCGTACGAAGTCACTTTTTTTTCAATGCTGTTGAAATTTCAAGCGGTCACTAAATGAATGGATGAAAGTCAAGGACCACCTGTATTTAGAGGGGATCTCACCTATAGATTTGTCAAGTTCTGAACATATTACACAGGTAGTCCCGGACTTACGACCACAATCGAGCCAAAAAAATGTATCTTGCTAAGTAACAATAAGTAACTAATATTTGTTAAGTGCAATTTAACCCATTTTGTGACCTTTCTTGCCCCGTTGTTCAGTGAACCGCTGCCGTTGTTAAATTTGTCACACGGTTGTTAAGTGAATCTGACTTTTCCCATTGACTTCGCTTGTCAGAAGGTCGCAAAAGGGGATCAAACCGGGATGCTGCAAACCATCATAAATATGAGTCGGTTTCCAAGTGTCTGTATTTTGTTCACATGACCATGGTGATGCCGCCATGGTTGTGTGAAAAACGGTCATAGGTCACTTTTTTTTCTCCTTGTAACTTCAAACGGTCACTGAATGAGCTGTTGTGAAGTCGAGGACTACCTGCCGACAGATTTAAGACCCAGCCTTACCTGGGAACTCCAGCAGTTCTCCCTCTTCGTCCTGCAGGGTTTCAACATCATAACTGGTATTTTCCTTCTCGTACTGCACAAAGAGAAGACGAGATGGGGGATTTCCCCAAAAGTGGGAATCTACAACAAGTTCTACGGAGAAGGTGAGGAGCCGACAGACGCCCTTCGGCTCAAGGAAAAGATAACTACGAGGGCTATCCACAAAATAGATTACGTTTTCGTCTGTAGCAAGAAGGGGCGGA